TTGAATCTATCAACAAAACCATTAAACACACTCTGAAGGCCAAGCTTGGCACTGCCAAGGGTAATTGGGTCGACAACCTCCCAGAAGTCCTATAGGCATACAGGACAACTTCGAGAACCTCTACTTCAGAAACACCCTTCTCGCTAGCATATGGCTGCGAGGCTATAATCCTACTGGAAGTAGGCATTGGTTTATTTCGGAGAGACTTGTTCAATGAAACAGACAATGAAGCACTTCTACGTGCGAGTTTGGACTTAGTTGAAGAACATCGCGACAAAGCTCAGTTAAGGATAGCACCCTACCAGTAGCGTGCAAAAAGATTTTTCAACTCTAAGGTCAGGAGAAGAGACTTTCAGGTCTGCGACTTGGTTATGAAAGAAGTTCTTCTTGGTACAAGGGAACTGAGTGCGGGGGTATTGGGACCTAACTGGGAAGGCTCATACCGTATCGCCAAAGTAATACGGCCAGGAATATATCATCTCAAAAGACTTAACGATTCCGAAGTACGACGAACTTGGAATGTTGAGCATCTTCGCCCCTATTACCAATAATTCCGAACTCGCTCTTTTAATTTCCTTGTAAAAATTTTCTTATAAACTTTGTAAATAAGATCGCTCCTAAGCAAAATTTATCTTGTATTATCTTGTTCGTCGCAATGTTTTTACAAGCTTTCTGTTCGCATATGTAACATTTGTGAAGTACGAAAAATTATAAGTGCTATCACAAATGGCTTGAAAATATTTCTTTTATTCATATAAACTAAGTACAGGAGCTAGAAGTACAAAGACAGTCAAAAGCAAGGTTGTGAAAAAAGCAGAAGCAATCACTGGTGTCTACCTCCAGACCCTAAGGGTGCGACCTCGGTATCCCCAGGTTGGTCGCCGATTGCTTGGTCAGCTGTTGGGTCCTCTAGAACATACTCCTCCGACTAATCGCCCTCTAGATGAGGCCCTTGTCCTTCCTCATCATCAGCTTCCGCCATGGAAGCAAGGATGTTCTAATAGTCGGTCGAGAGGTCGGTGAGGTCTATATCCGAGTTCTTTGGCTGCAAGGCATAAATGGCTTGAATCCCCTAGTCAGCGGCTTTCCTCTCAATTTCCAGGTTTCGTCGCTTCATCTAATTAGTTAATGAAGCGACTCGCCCTTGGGATAATTCGAGGTCTGTTTCTAATGCCCTCTTCTGCTTCTCAATACTTTCCCATAACTGAGCGCTTTCTTCCTCTGCCCTCAAGGCCCTTTCAGAGTTCACTCGGAGCTCCAACTCTTTCTCGCCACACTCTTTGGTGAGTCTAGTCACCAACCTCTGGAGCTCCTTGATTTTTCCTCCTCTTTTTTTGGACTCAATCTTTTGGAACTCCACTGTGCAAAGCATAGCGTTCCTCTCTGACATGTACTGGTTCACCTGAACGCTAAGCATCTTCAGCTCTATTTTTGTAGCTGCTAAGTCCTGCTTCAACTGTGCATTTTCTTCCTTCAGCTCGAAGAGGCCCCCCGTAGCTTCTAGGTGGGTCTTCTATTGAGCCAAGTGCTGGGCAAGCAGAGACTGCATGAGAAAGAAAGCAAGGGTTAAACTTCATTTCTTTGAAAAAACAAAGGAAACGAAAACCAACTGATATTGGAAAGTCCTCATTGAGGACGAACCGTCTTACCTGGCTTTGCAACTAAAGTGCACTGGTCATCAGGTCTCAAGGCCGGGAGGCCACAAACTCTTCGAAAGCCTTGGCAAGTTGGCACTCCAAAAGGGTATACACCACCGGCTACAAGTGTTCCGGAAGTTGTCCCATGGAGTCCAACATAGGTGTACTAGTTCCTGAAGTAGTTGGCACCTTGCTCGTCACCTCTTTGCCTGCTCTCATTCCGGGAGTCGCGGCCTTCCTCTGTCTCCTCCGCAGACGCTCAAGGACTAATGTAACTCCAGTTGCGTGCCTCGAGGTCACCCCCAAGCGAAAGGCCTGATAAGGCTGCGACCCCTAAGCCCTCTGGCTCAGACTCTGATTCCTCGACCTATAGCTGTCTTCTCTTCCTAGATCTTTGGCCCATAGTTTTTTGCTTAAGGCGAGCAGCCACAGGCCGGGAAGCTTCTGCTGGTTGTTCAGTGCGTGGTCGCGCTCCCACCTGCGCTCCTCCGACGGGGATGTCGCTAGGGGTCACCTTGGCTAGTTTAGTAGGGGCGACCCAGGGAAAAACGAACCCTTTGGCTCTCGATGATCTTGGCACTTTGGGTGGCACAGTCGCTTCATGCAAGTAGAGTTAGTAAAAAAAAGTTCACTGCATGTAAAAGAAAAAAATTTCTAAAGTTTGCGAACACTTAAGAAATAAGGGTTCTAAGGACGCTTCAGGATTGAAGAAGCTTTACTTCCTCAGGTTGGCAGTTGTCATGAGCAGTCTCGCTTCGCGACTCTGCTCGGGCAGATTACCGAATGATAATATTCGGTTGAAGTCAGTTAGAGCCATCAGCCTAGTTATCTTGTTTCCTACGAAGAAAACGGGAAAGCTCGTTAGAAAGCAAAGACGAACGGAAAAGAAAAAAATTCGCTAAAGTAAAAAAAGGGAAGACCTATTCGGCTCCCTAAATTGGCAAATGCCGTCATAGTAGAAAAAGAAAAATTTGGTTTCATATGCCCCGACATTACTGGGGTAACCAAATATGCCTCTCTTGATCGTAGATTGCTTCAAGAGATAGTAAAAGTCTTTGCCCTTGCTATTCTTTAAATAATAAGAGCAAGTGAGCTCCAGCGCAATCAACTGGCTGAGGCCATTCTCGCCGCACGGAATTACATAGCCATGGATATCATATACGCGTTAGGCGTCAGTTGCAATGGCGTGACCTTGAAGTGATCAGGGATTGACCTAATAAAGGGGTGAAAAGGTATCAGCGCCCTGCATTTGAATATCACCTTGAAGACCGCAACCATTCCCTCTGGGGGATTCCGAGCTGTATATGTCATGTGTTGTAGGCATCTACGCTAAGTGCGTATTGGTCCACTGCCCTCTGTATTTCATCTCGGGTAGCTAATGACATAATCTCTTGCACGGGACCCGTGGAGCATCTGTGCTTGCGAGCTTGTCCCCTCAGTCATCCTGGTCGCTGAGGCATCCATCTTTCCTATGGTCTAAAAAAGGGCGACACGCAAAGGTTACTCAGTCTTTGTACAGTATTCCATACGACGACGTGGAAGAACAAAATCCCTAATGTATCTTCCTTAAACCCTAAACAATCCTTGGGGACCACTCCCAAAGATTTGTGCCCTAAAAACCTACTCGTTACAAAAGAAAAAACCTTCTCCATTTGACTGCCCATAGACACGCACCTCAAAAGTTTTATTAAACAAGTTCACACCCACCATTATTGCTTGGATAAGTTATCTACAACGCAGAAAAAAGGAAAAGTAATAGAGAAATCTTCCTTACCTCTTGGCTGTGGGAATCAGACTTCCTGCTGTAAATGAAAACTGCGCACCAACTTGAGAGTGGGAGTCTGGTCTCATGAGAGCTTTTTACTTTCTCTGAAAATATGAGTGTTGTGACATTGCCTGAGGCGAGCCTAGGGTTTTATAAGGAAGAAGTGGCGATTGATCTTCCCTAAGCCAAGCGACATTTGGGTGGAATGTGTTTCTCGCCATTGATTGCGACCACATGTCATCAATTGGTGAGAATGAGTAACTGCCACACTTCGAGTAATTCAATCTTGCTTCCCTCCCTTTAAATAACCAAGCGATGGCTCGATTCTCTCCTCAACATTAAATACGCCTTCATCCGCATTTAATACCCTGAAAAGGAATGTCGTTTCAGCATGACTCACATTTAATGCGCATGGCTGGCACTTATTGCGTGCAGGACATGTCTGTCAGAATAAAGATTATTTTATTAACATATTAGCTGTCAAGCACAACGGATAACATCTGAAGAGGTTGTTGGGATAGAACACTCTTCGCCACGTATCGATCACGAGATGGTACCTTGTCTTTTGTAAAAATATGCTAAGTACTATCAGGTTGTGGACCTCGATTGAGATTTGAAGCACATCAGCATGACACTGAGTAGGTTCTATTCCAGGTCGTCGACTTTACGGAAGAAGACCATCTCAAGTCGCTTTTTATGACATGTGTTGCGACCTCCTTACAACCCGATCAGCTTGACCAGGCGTCATTCGGGACAGGTCAAGTCGTGGCATAATAATGAAGTTCTCAAGGTTCAATCCTTAAACCTTAAAAATTGGGGGACTTCTGTTATGCCTGAAAAGTTAGGGCTGACATGGAGCCTCGTCAGCAAGGGCCAATCAAGGCTCAGGAAAATTTTGTACAGCCTGGGCAGGGGCTTGTCGTGCAATGGCGCAAGTGGCATAATTCCTGTCAGCGCAGTGGGTGAGTGCCAAGCTTGCAAGTGGTTAGAGATCGCCCACGTGTCCAGAGCCTATGCAAGTTGAGGATATCTCTCAAGCAGGCAACCATTGGGACACAAATATTGATTTTCACAGCACCTACCATCTCCCACTATAAATAGAGGTCTTCCCTCTCATTTGCAAGATTGGCTAATCTTACTTTAAAAATAGCTTACACACATTCTTTCTCTCTCTGTATTCTCTCTAAATTATAACTCGGCTCGCTGCATGCAACCTTGTTTTCCCCTTTTATTAATACAATAGCAATGGACATATGATTCACTTTTGAGCATCCGAACCACTTTAAATATCGCCTCTCATCCGCTATTTCATCTAATATCCTCGTATCACGTGTGACTTCTAAGTCCGTTTAGCATTTACACGTGCGAGTAGTTGGTGTCAAAATCAAACATCAACAGATTTTATTTTATTATTTTATGTGTTAAACAAAGAAACCCAGAAGTATGAAAAAATAGTAAAAACTCTCCTAAAATTTTTTCTTTAGATTGTAAGGGTCAATGCTGAAGTCTACTCCTCTTTCGGCTTCCTCTTCCTTTTCTTCTTCTTCTTCCCATTTGTATTTGTCGATTATCAGAAGAATCTCTCATCATCGAACTTGATGGCTTCTTCTTCTTTAACTACTCGAGAAAATGATGTTTACCTTTGTTTTAGGGGCGAAGATGTCCGCAACAATTTTATCAATCATCTCGATAAAGCTTTACGTCGCAAAAAGATTCAGACTTTCATCAATAACCAACTTGATCCTGGAGAATGTATTCCGCGATCTATTGTACATGCAATGGAAGAATCAAAGATTTCAGTTATTGTTTTCTCAGAAAAGTATGCTGCTTCTCTATGGTTTCTTGAAGAGCTTGAAAAGATTCTTGCATGTAAGAATCGGTACGGCCAGATTGTAATGACTGTTTATTATCACGTAGATCCATCAGATGTAAGGAATCAAACCGGGAATTTTGGGAAAAGATTTGCTATGATTGAAGAACAACTTAAGGAGAGCCCACAAACATTAGTCAGATATAAAAGCGCTTTGGAAGAAGCAGTAAATATTTATGGCTTTGATTGGCAGGTTATTAGGTGAACTTCTGTTCTTACATATTACTTTCACTTTATGCTAATTTTTTTTGGGTCAAGTTATAGAAAATATATTCATTAAATATATTCCACTTGAGAATATTTTAGAAATAAATTTATTTAATTAAAAGACTATTCGATCTACTTGAGTATTAAAATATATCAATAGACAGAGTTTACGTGTTCTGCACATTGAGATAAGGAATACTTCAAGCTATTTATTATATTGTTAAAGACATGAAACGCTAAGGTTGAAATTCAAATATAATTTTGTAATTACTGTTAGTCAATAACACTGAAAATAGATTTTATTGGGAGATGTTTTCATGCATGTTCAAGGATGGACGAAGTAGCCTATAGAAATTAGCATTACATTGTGTTTGTCTCTTTGAGATCTACTTAATACTCACTATTGTTTCCTTCTTTTGTTATTGTTAGGTCTGAGCCCGAACTTGTAGAGAAAATCGTTGAAGACATTATGAAGAGATTGCAAGATATGTCTCCTAAATATGACCAGGTTGGTATAGCATAAAAAACATTAGGAAAAATTAAACTTCTATTTTGTATTGGGTCAAATGTATGCATAATCGGAATTTTGAGCATTAGTGGTATGGGCAAAACAACAATTGTCCATGTATTCAATGAGATCTCAAGTAAATTTGAAGGTTCTTACTTTGTGAATGATGTTTGGCGAAAATTGAAAATATGGCAGAACTTCTATAAAATGAACTTCTTCCAACAATATCAGAGGATATTTATTTTGATGCTATTTATCATATTCTCTACCCTCCCTCTTGTGCTTTTGGTGGTAGGATCTTTTTGGTGAATGAAAGTTTACTCGTTTTCATTTTATATTATTTTCTTTCTCTCCTGGTTTTCAACTAGCTCTTTCAATCCTTGAAAATTGAAATACTCAATTTTCATTTATCATATTCATCTTACTCTTTCTTAGATATCGAACTATTTGATGATTGAGTTATACCAATTAGTAAGATGCATGAAGGAAGTTGGTTAATTATGAGAAAGTATTTGTCATTTTATTGATTAAGAAATTGAGAAAGATGCTCATATAAATTTATTGCTCTATATCTTGTATGTAACCTTAATCTCTAAATCACAGGGTTGCAGGTTTCTTTCGGTGTTTTTCCTAGTTTTGGAGGCAATATCAGTGGTTTTGGATCTATATGGGAAAAGCAAAAAGAATTTTCTTCTTGCAGCATTTCTCTTGTCAGCCTTCGGTTTTATTATAACCATATATGCTTTTATCAGAAAAAGAACCACTGCAGCATTAAAACAAAAAGCTGAGAAGAAACTTGCGTGGGTGGAGGTTGTCTTCTCTGTGTTCCAATTAGTTACTTTATTCATTCAAAATATTCTAGCAGTTGCAAGAGTGAAAAACAGCTATAATTTATCGTTTTTCCCGCTAGTCTTTGCCCTACTTCTTGTTGTGTTTGCTTTTAAGAAGGAGAAAACTGTTAATAATCATGATCAAATTTCGTATAGCCAGGTAGGAATCTGAACACTAATTTAGTTATCTCTTTATTTATTTTTATATTGATTTTGTTAATTTTATTTGATTGCAGCTGGAGAACTCCGCAAGGGTATGAGGCAAAAGTACTTCTACAACCAGTCCGAACTTGTCAACAACCAAGTGGAAATGAAAGGCGTAAGGAGGAGCCACAACCTAAAAGATTTAGGAAACTCAAGTTCTTTTAAGGTCAAAGCCAACTTTGTCAAAACAGAATCCATGTTTGTGTACACTGTACACTGTACAGTGTACCTACAGCTATACCTCTGCTCAATATGTATTAATTTATTTCCTGTTAAAAGTTTTAGTTTTGAACTTTTAATTTTTATTCGTTATCCCATTTGGTACGTTTATGTACTCTCTTTTGGAGATTGATGACATTGTAATATTTGCAACATTCTTGTACGTAACTATTTTCTTGGTAAAAAAAACTTGAAACTGAAACTTCTATGTAAGCCCAAAAGTCCATTTGTGACAATTTTTGTGCTAGCCCATTCGTGCTTGGGCTTGGGACGACCCATTCGTGTCATTAAATTAGTATTAAATTATGAAATAATAATAAAAACTCCTCTGATATCTCTGAAATATGCACCCCGAGGTTTCAAAAATATCGTAAAACCTCCTTTGTCTTAACATATTTATATTACAAGTATTAAATTAGTTTTACCTAATTCAAAAAAGGAAAAAAAAAAAAAAAAAAAAGTAATTCTTTTTTGTTATTAAAGGGACATTAATAAAATTTCATACATTTTTCTTTTATAGTTAGGGAGGATTTTATGATATTTCCGAAATTGAGATAGATGATATCAAGTGAATTGACTAAGACTGTTCATTGTTTGCTTCTCTAGCTATACATAATTCAAAGGAAATTGATTGATTTTAATAATCTAACGTCTGATTTCAACCTATGTACATAGAGAAGAGATATATGGGCTGAATACCAGCCGTTCTATTTCTACACTTTGTGATGTAGCATTTTTCAGTACAAGATATGTATAATTTTAATCAGGTTTCCGTTAATGCGGTTAATTGTAACTAATTAAATTCAATCATGGAATTCAATCAAAAGTGCTAATTAAATAGCTAATTATGCTGATTTACCTAAAGAAACCCAAAACAAGAGGAAGTGATTACATTATTTTACGTCTAAGGAATTGTACGATAATTTATGCTGCATGTCTTCATATTTCATAGCATAGCTAACATGCACTTCCTGACCATGAAGAAATCAATTTTACTATAACGATGACTTGGTGAACAGAACTTCATGATAAATCCGTTCTTTATTTAACACATGTAATACAAGTTGATATCACATGTGACATGCCACCGGATTTAGTTGGTTTAATTGAAGGGCAAAGTGACATTATAAAACAGTGTAGATAAGTGTTTTAATAACCAACCTGGGGTGAAACCTAGCAAAGTGGCTAGGTCCCAAGTTGATCGGTGTCCATAAGTTTGAAATCCAACAAAAACACCCCTAAAAATTATTATAAGTCTATACAAGTTTGAAATCTTGTAAAAACACTCTAAACATTATAGCCAACGTCGACAAACCAGGGCAAATAAGGTCTATCTCCAGCGACAACAACACTCCTCATCACCATGAAAACACTCCCTTAAGCCTCATGACAAAAACCCATCTCATCCCTCCCTCGATTGCCCCGCCAATGTTATCGCCGATTTAGTTTTACGATTTTCGGTCGATTCATTCACCGAAAATCACCTCCGTTGTCACCATTTCACTCAACGACCTTTCTTCTTCAAAACCCCCAACATCTCAGCCTTTAATTATTCGCCCTGGAAACCAATCGTGTTGTCGGTTTTAGGACATTATATCTTGTAAATGTATTATGAATAAAAGAAAGTGTTCTTATTTCACATGTTGATTTTCTGCTTCATTTATATTATATTATATTTAATATTGCATGTGAAATGTCCAGATGACATGGACTTTTAGAAGATCAAATCATCAAAGAATTCCCTACGCAAGTAATGTTAATTATGTAATAACATTGCATAGTAGGCATACTGAATGTCTCCATTGAATATCATGTGATGGTATTAGTGTAGGTGATTATAAGAGGTATGTCACTAAGGCATTAGCATGGATAAATGGTTAGTAAACTGTTTATTGAATATGACCGATTACGATGAATCACATGGATGTGGTCAATGATGCATCGTAGGATTGTGCTAGTGTAACCTGAGACATCACGGTTGGATTCAACATAGGACGCATATGGTTCGTATGGTGTATAAGCACGAGACTAATCATGTCTTGTGTAATAAGCCAGTTTGGTCATATGTTATTCATGTGCGAGGACAAGTGATGGTTAAGATGGGATCCGTCAACTCAAAATAGTCCAATCTCAAGTTCCCAGACAAATGTCAATAAACATTAGAAAAGGGAAATCTCTGGCCAAGGTATAATGAATGTCAGATGAAAAGTAGTTTCATGTTGACAAGTTCTATTGTATCGATTGACAATTCGATTAAAGATTAAGTTAAAGGTTTTGATATACCATAAACCATTCTTAATCGAGATTAGATAACAGAAGGATTTGACTACACGGTACGTACAATCAGAATGGGTTTATTGGAGTTTACACTTCATTGTGGTTTAGAGGTTATGGAACATTGCTAGATGTCTACCATAATCAGTGGGAGTTTCGATTATAAAGAATTATAACGAAACATATCAAAATTAGATATTGGGCCCACGGCTAGATCACAGTGAACCAAAATGGTCACACATAAAACCAAGCTTAAGGAAAGAGAATAATACATATCATTAATCAGATTAATGATGTTCGAATGTAAATGGTTGAATCCGAATTAATGTATTGGTGAGAAATGATTATCTATGGATAACTAGCACTAACCAAGGGTAATAAGGATTTATTAAATATTATTATTGAAGTGGATTCAATGATGGGGGCAAAATGCATTGGTGTTATTCTAAAGGGTTAGAATATTTAATGGAATTAAAATTTGGTCTAATTATGAATTAACCATAAAATCAAGGACTTGACATAAATGTTTATTCTGAAGTTAATTTTAAATTGTTTGAGGCCTTCCCAAAACAATTTAAAATTAAACTTTGTGCCCATGGTATATAAATTAAGTATTATACCATTTTAATTCAATTGAAACAAAAATCACTCTCTCATTTTCTCTCTCACTTTCTCGGCTCTCTCATCTTTGGCTTGGGTGGATTTCATTTTGAGTTTCTTCATTCTCTTTTGAAGAATCTAGACTCCAAGTTTCAATATCAAGCTTTTAATAGCAAAAGGAGTTGGTAATTTTCAATCCTTTTCTTACATTAATATGTTAATGTTTAAATTAATGTTTGTGTTCTACCTTACATCCATCATCTTCTTCATCCATTTTACACCATTTCCATGTCCAAAATGCATGAATCCCAATAGCAATTCGCAGGAGCGAATTTTTTTTAATGGTTTTTTTAAGATTAAAGC